GTAGCTGTCGCGCTTCCGGAATCGAGCGAGTACAGACTTATAGCAAACCGCTTACCCGTGTCTATCCAGTCGACGTCCTGGCCGTTGAACGCGGACTTCAGCCTGTTCGTGATGGTCGTCAGCGCGAAGATCTGGTCCCGGACGATGGTGGGCCGCGGGCCGGAGCTGCGCACCTCCGGATTCAAGCTCTGCGTCTCGCCGTTCGACGACACCGGGTATATGTACCTACGACGAGACGTGTTTTCATCGAGCGAAACGATCGAAGGAGTCGCGCGTACTTACTTGTCGACGTGCGTGCCGTTCCAACACTCTTTGGTGTTGCTCGGCGGGACCACGAGGCCGTCGTTGCACAGCTGGTACGGCAAGTACACCCAGAACTGCCTGGAATCGCGCACTCTCTGCCGTATCTCCTTGACGAGCTTGTCCAGGCTAGCGACGGTCGTGCCGCGCTCCTCGGGCAGCGTCTCCTGGTCGAAGTTCAACGACTCGAGCTCCAACTCGCGGTTGTCGCTTCGCCTGCGCCTCCGTCTGCCCAGAATCGGCCGGCCGCAGCCGGCGAACACCCTCTGCGAGACGTCCTGGCCCGTCTCCTGGAAGTTCATGATCGCCTCGGAGATCTTCAGGTTGATCGGTCGCATCAGCATCTCGATGTTGAACGGGCCCAGCAGTCGGTCCGCCACCTTGTCCACGGCCTCTGGAATCCGAGCGTCGCAATTAGAACGGGCGCGGCGGAGGAAGCTCGGCGCGGCCCTTCCGCGGATCGAGAAACGAATCAGAACGGAACGTCCGCGACGCGCGTTCCGCTCCGCTCGCGACGCGACGCGACGCGGTGCGTCGATCGCGCATCGAACCGCGCGAGCCTATAATTACAGCGGAACAATGGACGGGAAATTACTCACCGACAAAGTGATTCCATTCAGCGTCCAGTGCCGCATGCTGCGCCAAGCAACCCTTCATCACGTTGGCGCACATGTCGCCGCACGCCAGCACGTTCCCCGTTATCCCGCTGCACGACGGGCAGACCGTCATTCTGGTGAATGCAGCTGCACAGTCCGTGGACGGCTTCAACTGCGAACACAAAACGATTTTCCAGCTGTCTCGGCTTTACGCGACGCGACACCGTCGACTGCTCCGAGCTGGCCGGCTCTCGTGACGAGTCGAAATTCACGGTTTCCCGCGCGTTTAGGGAGACGAGTCGAGCCTCACCGTTTGCATGTTCTTCAGGATGTCCGCGGCCACCGTCAGAGCTTGGCTGAACGCCCTGGTCGCGACGAACGATCTCTTGATCTGAACGCCCAGTTTCTGGGGCACGTCGCCGAACGGTCTCATCTCCTTCATACTGTCCCCTACGCACTCCAGATACTTGTTGTCGAACTTGTACTGACTGTTCAGCACCGTGAACATCTTCAGGTAGAGGGTATTGTAGAAGTTGTCCATGGCATCGTTCAAGTTCACCTGGAACACAACGGTGGTTCATCGACGTGCTCGATCGGCATGAAATACGGAGATAGTTAACACTAAAACTGACAGACGGGTCAAATGACCCATGCCTGATGTCTTTTTGTAATTATTAGAAAGGTGACGAATGTTTCTCTGAGAAATTATTAAAGAAATCCATTTAACACTACGTAAATTGAAGTGTAAATCGATTAACCCTTTGCGGACGGATGTCGGCATGTCGATGAGATGAAATATTCATGTTTGGGAGATTAGCTCGCGAACAGATGATTTAATTAGTCGAATAGCAAGAGATCAGACCGCAGTTTTCTTTTCTATTAATTAAGCAGTTGATAAAGGTTAAAGTCTGATGCACTCTTGTGTAAAAGGTTAAAGTCTGATGCACTCTTGGAGCTTAAGCGAAATTGTCAAAAGTCAATTGAACTGCTCGGTAGTTTTAGCGTTAATCGTTATTCGGAACATCTCGAGTAACGTTTCACTATAGTTTCGCCTCGAGCACTCGAGACGGCAGCGCGTTTCCACCGACCGAAAAGGGAAAACAAAGAACGGTTGTCCGGGATTACCGGTTCATAGACTACCCCTATAGTTTCCGATCCGGGCTAATAATCGAGCGCGCGCTCGAAGGGCTAATCCTGCAATCCGGCGGACGTATTATCGAGTCGGCGCGTCGGCGAGGCGTCGCGACGAAACGGACAGAAGTGAAAGAGAGAACCGATGAAACGACGGGATACAATTCGCCGACGGAATATCTATATCTATTGATATCTATATCTGATATATGGAATATCTTTATCTATGGATATCTATATCTATCTATATATATCTATGGATATCTCTATCTATAGATATTTATATCTATCTATATCTTATATATGGAATATCTATATCTATGGAATATTTATATCTATAGATATCTATATCTATCTATATCTTATATATGGAATATTTATATCTATAGATATCTATATTTATGGATATCTATATCTATCTATATCTCATATATGGAATATCTATATCTATCTATATCTATGCTCGGCTCGCGATACGCTCGCAACGTCGCTGGCCGACGCGGCACTCGATGCGAACGGACGGGCTCCGCAAAAGGGTGAAAGGGAAAGCACGCGGGTAGGGGATGGACATAAGTAACGTAGGACGCGTCCTCCCGTCTTTGAAAATCGAGCCAGCCCGCCGCTATCGATCCGGTCTATCTCGCTACTCTTCCGGCGACGCGGCGTCGCATAGTGCTGTACTCGCCCGATCTGGCCGGACAAAAGTCCATTGTAAACATTTCACCTAAACCGAAAAGTTGCTGCTGCTTGGGGTAGCTGAATATGTATGGAACAATGTCCTATAAACTTTGGTTTCCTCGGAGCATTCGGAAAATGCTGAGTTATCCTGGAAGTTGGACATTTCTCGACTACCGTTCTCTTCAAATTTCACGTAATATTCTTCAAGTTTCGAGGAAATTGTATGGATTTTTCTTTTGTATCAAAGATTTCAGATAAGCACGGACTGCACCTTTAAACCTTATCGGACGAAGATTCTTTGAAATGTACGAAACCTTCGAGAGATAAAGATAAATTATATATCAGTTGCTTAATTAACACTTTGACTGCCACGTAAACACTCATCAAAACTCCCATGTACTCAAAACAGTTTTCTCCATTAACCAGAAACCGAGAAATCAAGATTCTTCTTAATAATTGCTCCAGTATCTTTCTCATATCTCATATATCCAACAAAATTCGGTTCGTTCGATACGCCACGAAAAAAATTAATGCCCACGTTTCTGTAAAAAATGTCACCCGAATTCGGGTGACGTGGCAGTCAAAGTGTTAATAGAAAAAAGGGTAGCTACGTGATGATCTCGTGTGATCTACGTGAGATTAGATTCTCACATTTTCGAAATGAATTCATCGACCGTCTCTTAATTATTTCGACCGTTCGTCTTCGCCGAAATTTCGGGTCAGATCTGTACGAGCGAAGACAGTGCCCGGCGTATAAGCGAGAGAAATGAGCTCGGTCGATCGCGTTTCGCGACCCTAATAACGGCTTTGTCGCGAGTGTACACGAAAACTCACCGTCCCCTTGGCGTAATAGTTCTCCAGTTCCTTGAACAGATCCATGAAGACGTACGAGTTCTGCTCGTACAGCGTACCGTACGTTCTCCTGTACATTTCGTGGAAGATACTCTTGCTGTCCGCCAGCAGTTGTTTGAAGAAACCTGAGAAAAGCGAAAAGAATGCGTAAGAAGTGCTAGAAACGATACTTCCGTTGGAACATGTTATCGTAACGGCTATACTTTATTACCCTAACCTAAACCGTCTGCGTTCGATTTCGTTGAAAACACTCCGTTTTTAACCGTTCGCATTCGACAGCTGATTCTTAGTCACCACCTGATTGGATATAGTAAAATTATAAAGTCCTACGATCATATTAACCCTTTCAGGACGAATATCGACATTTCAGCAAGATCAAATTTCCATATTATATTTGGAAGAGTAAGTCGCAAACAAATGATTCAATTACTCAAACAGCAAGGGATCAATGTATAATGTCTTTCCTTGCTATCGTTTAAGTAATCGATATATAATTTAACTTCATCTGCTGAAGAAACGAAACAGCTTCGTTCCTCAGAACGCGTGTTTTCTCATTAGATTATTACAAAAATAACAGGTGTTTCTCTGAGAAATCGTTAAAGAGATTCATTGAACAATACGTAAACCTAATTATAGATGAACCAACGTTTCGATGGTCGCACTCTTGAAGTTTCAATAGAGGAATTGCAAAAAGTCTGAGACGCACCCTTCGAGTGCAAAGGGTTAAGTACACGGAAGCGAGCGAGGTCTGTTCGATCTTTCGAGTTGAGAGGGTCGCGGAACGCCGAAAGGAAAGTTGGTTAAGAACGACGTCTCGCGTTCCCGTCGGTTCGAATCGGCAATTGCGGTCGAGCCACCCTCCTGCGACCGTGCGGACCTTCGCGCCCCGAAGCCGGTTCTTATCGTTGCTTTAGCCGCGAAGAATGTGATTATAATTCCTTTTAACGACGTTGAGGGAACGAGAAGCGGCGAGCCCTCGCGCGACGGATTCGTCGGCAGCAACGTTCACGCCCCCGACAAAGAGCCCACCAGACGGTCGCCTCTCCTCTCCTCTCCTCGCCGCGCGTCGCTCGGCGACACGTTGTTCCGCTTCGCGCGAAAGGGGAACCGAGTAAGTACGTACTTTGTAGTTACGTGCGCCGGCAACCGCCGCGCGGAACTTTGTCGGAGATTTGAATTCGAGGCGCGCCCGCCTATTATTCGCCGGGGACGCGAACGCTTTCCCCGTTCTCCGTGAAAAATCCCGACAAAGCCACTTTAATCGGGCTCTGCCTCTCGAGCGCCGCGCGCGAAAATCGTTCGATTCCCGAACGAGACGACGAACCGAGCCAGGAATCCGATCGATGCCCGACCGACGATCGGAAGGGTCGTCCGACCCTCCCTACCGTCGCGTCCACCTCCGTCCATTGTGCAGCCAACTATTTACTCTGTCGGAGTGGAGTGTAGATTAATGAGGAGACAGTAAAACACAATTCACACTCACGTTTTGCGTTCGCGGAAGTATCAAAATCTGGTATTTATTCGTACCTTTATACGGTTGTACGATGTACTTTTTCGAGTAATGCGTCGGCGGTACGATGCTCCAGTTAACACATTGCGTACCGGTTAATTTTCAGAAAACTATATTGTGATGGCAATTTTTACTGAGGTCAACTTATATCACCATACATAGAAAAACTCAGATATATTGTTATATAATATATTTTAAATAGATAATCAATTCGAATCAAATGTTATATATTTTCAATGCCGTGGTAATTAGCGAAGTTACATAGCTAAGTGTCTTTATAGAAACGAGATTTCTCGTTACCAGTGCGCAATGTCTTAGTGGAATCTCCAAATGCCGTTTTTCTACTGTTCCAATCGAAAGTCGGATGTCGCTCGTCTGCTGCTGTACCCGCGCGCCGAAAATGCTCCAAATATGCTTAAATGCCGTCCGCCACATTCCTCTGTTTTACCGAGGTTTATACCCGGTCCAAGACAGAGAACCGCGGACGGACAAATCGACGAAGTCGCTACGACTCTCTTCGCGTTTCGCGGCGCTGAAATATCTGCGTTTGGAGCTGTCTCTTTCTCGTCCCACCTGCTCCTTCCGTCCGTCCCTCCGCTCGCGGCTCCTTCGACTCGTCCACTTTCCGTCCCGATTCTCTTCTCCCTCTGTCGCCGGCTGCGTCACCGCACTCGCATCGCGGCAAGTGGAGAGCGAAGTGGGTAGGTAGCTAGATGCGGCTAGGCAGCGGCGGCTCAAAGGGAAACGACGCCCGATGGAGAGGGCGGCGCGGGCGCGAGAAAGATCGAGCGTCGCCGGTGGCAGGTGCCGCGAACTCCCGCGCCAGGTAATTTCATTAACGAGAATCATTAGGGCCCGTTGCACCGTGCAGGTTTTCACCGCGGCGTCGTCTAATTTTCGCGGCGTCGGCCAAAGCGACCAACACGGCCGGTCCTCGGTTCGTTTCGTCGTTCGCTCGTTAGTCGACTCGCTGCGTACCGTTCGGACGCTTTCGATCGTTTCTGTGTACGGTTTAAGGTATGCTGGCAACGGAGAAATCGGAGATACTAGGGAAACGTAACGTCGTTTAACTCTTTGATCGCCGCACGATTTTAACCTCTTAGGCGCGGCTGAATTTTGCGCGGGGCTGTTTCTCTGTACGGCAGGAACTTAAACTTCGTACATGCATCAATTTGAGAAATATTCGAACAAAACAGTTTTGTGCCTCGATGTAAGTGTGATTCCTCGTCGAGTTAGCTTCACAAAATATGCTCTCTATATCATCAAAAGACGTTAAAATATTTCTAATGGAAAACTGCCGAGTGCAAAGGGTTAAAATGATGCTAATTCTTTCAGCGATGAATTATCCACTTTTTCAGATACATATGTAATTCTTGCTCGTGTTGCTTTACAATTTGTAGGTGCATATAAATTATAAAACAAATCTTAACATATCATAGGTGCATTTGGCCTGCGTTAGACGAGTATACACTTCATTATTTTATTTCATTGCGAGCATTATCTGAGATGTCTCAAATTAAGTTCCACAGTTAACAGGTTAAAACTCTCTTCGAATCGTGCTATTTTAATCGACAAAATGATCGAGCTAACAGCAAAATAATCTGAACCGATGATACTTCGTGGTCCACCCTGTATACGGTATAGTATCTACTTAGCCGCGTTCCACGGCACCTATGGCCGCGAAATCGATTAAAGTCGCGAAAGTCTAGGGAGGCGGTACTCACCGTGAAACCTCGTCGCTCTCGTCGACAGGATCTGATGAAGTCGCTGAAGAGTTTCTTTGGTGGCTTTCTCGTGTTTGTTACGTGCCCTCGCCTGTAATCTCACCTCCATGTCCGCGGAGCAGCAGACCTCTCCGCCGCTCCTCACGCTGCCGCATATTTTCAGTTCCTTTGCTGGAAAAACGAACGAAAAACGAGATTAAAGCAGCGTTCAAACCAATTTCAAACGAGGTTAACCCTTAACCCCTTGCTGTACAATAACGAGTGAGATTCATGATGGAAATTTCTAGACTAATTTAACAACGATCGATGTTATTTATAACTACTTTGCTATTACCATTGTATCATCTTCAAATAAAATTTCCACTTGAAGAATGGACAATTTTGTTGCATTTCAAAATTGTCGATAGTAAAATGGTACGCGAGGTTAGTGGCGAAAGTAAATAGTACGTCAAGGGGTCAAAATGCCGAGTGAGGTCCTATAGGGAGCCCAGAGAGCATTTATCCTTAATAATTTTCTAAGTAATTTTTTGTAATTTCTCATATTTTATATTTTCTCTTTTTCCATCAAGTATTGCGGATGATTTGTCTATTCTAAAAACACCGTTATCTTGTTTTTAACTACGTGCTGATCTCTTGCTGTTCGAGTAATTAAATCATTTTCAAATTTCTTTAAACTAAAAAAAATTGTTAGTATTCATCCGAAAATTTAAACGTCCTTCAAGCTCCGGATAGATTCAAGAATACAAAACTCAAACATTTCTATCCATACGGATACAATATTTTAAACGAGATTCCACCTAGAGACCTCTTAAACACAGTTAAACATTCCGAATTTGTTAATAACAATCAACTGAAAACTTCCGATAGTTTTCCGAGCATATAACTCCAATCTGCTTTGTATTCATATATTTTCTACTCCAAAATGTCACAAAATCCTGCAGTTATCCAGCAGCTTCGGATTTTTCGTATCCTTGGTTCCGTTCCCGAAACGTTTCGAGCAAAAGGTCCTTCTCCTCTTTGTTTCCGTTCCAAACAGCCGGAGCCGGTGGATAAACTCGACTCGAAATTTTCCAAGTTCGTCTTCGCGAGTTTGAAACGGATGGCCGACCCGCCGCCCGCGCTCCCCAAGAAAACAGTGGGGCGCGGCGTTTATTTGTGCTCGAACGAATCGTGATTACACGAAACTCCGACGCGGGCGCAGCTTCCGTGATTTACGGCAGATACGGCTAATTCGTTTCCCCGTTACTTTCCCGGCCCGCCGCTTCCGGGAAGCCGGCGGACGGATTTCCCGGGAAGCTGCTCGCGGTCGCGATCATCTCGAAAAATTGATTCTCGCGTGGTCGACACACCGAACAAAGCCGCCTTGCGCCCTCCCCCGTCCCCGAGCGCTCCTCCTCGTCGGGCAAATTCAATTTGCTCGGGTTAGAGAGATGACGTTTCGTCGGACTCGGTCGGATTTCAAAACGCGCCCGCCACGCGACGAAATCGCTTCCCGACGTCTCGATGAAAGGATCGCAGCTCGAGGCGGCGAGGCGAGATCAATTCGAACTCGTTTAACTCCTTGTCCTATGATTTATTTCTTAACCGGTTAACTGTGGAATTTAGTTGGAAAAACTAAAAACTGGTCATGAGTGTAATAAAGTTGAAAGATGGTGTAGTCGTCGAACGCAGGACGAATGCATGTAGAGTATATTTTAAGAATTATAGGATCATGTTAAGCTTTACGATGACGTGTATACTCGTCAAACACAGTTAACTGGTTAATCGAAAATAATCTGGTGGTAGACTCTTTTTCGTTTCGTTCGTTTTCTCGGAAAGTTACGATATAGTTAAACTATGAGTCTTTATGTAAATTTATGGCTTTATTAAAAATTCGAATCCTTCTCATCTTCTTAGAATAATCCTTCTTGTTGTCTAAGTTTTCGTACCTCAAAGTTGTAACGGAAGAATTCGAATATTTAACACTGGATGAATATTCAATGTTCGAAATGATTTTGGAAATTAATAGTCTCGTTTGGATATTATAATGAATGTGTGAAGTAATAAATATTATATATGTGTAAACATATTTCTAATATATTATAATATATCTTATATATTATTTCTAATATATATCTAATATATTTCGAACAAATATTCCGCCGCGAGCAACAAACGTTTGCCTCAGGTCACTCTGACCTTGATTCGCCCGCCGCGCGAGTGCCGAAGCGAGTGTCTTCCAAGGATTAAAGAAATAATAGCAGCAGCGAGGAAACTTTCCAGCCTCGTAAATGCAATCTAGTTTCCAAGAACCGGGGTAGCGACGACGTCAGCGTGTACACGAAGGGGATCGAGGGTGGCTTCGAGTTGTTTCCTTTCATTCGCGGGAAACACATCCAACTTCGTGTTGCACTATTTTCCAGACACTTTGCATCGGACAATGGAACGAGATTGAAATGGAATTTCCTCGGGTAAATCGAGTAAACCGAACCTGGACAGATCTCCCAGCAAAGACGTTCTCGTTTAACTCGGTCCGAACGAGTCGCGAACCCCTCTTTTATACCAACGGTGCACGAGTGTGTTATCCGGGACCATGGGGAATCACCGAAAACAATGACGTCCGGTTATCGCATAGCTATAGTCCGACAGAGAAGACTTCGCTTGTCTTGAAAGCGAAAAAGTCAGGGAAGGAAACTGGAACGCGACGAAGTGAGGTGTTAACGATAGAAAATAAAATTTATAATATCACCAACTTCATTCTCTATCGTTTCATCTTGCTTCGTTGCCTTCGGTGTTCTTTCAATTTCCTTGCCTCGCTGACTTTTCAACTTTTACCAGCGAAGTCTTTCTCAGAGCATCGCGGTTTAACCCTTTGTAGTCCGAAGTGCTCTTGGTTTCTCACTTAGAGGTTCGCGTCGATGTTAGTTGATTCAATTACAGCTTAATATGATGCTCTATTTATTTATTCAAGAATATTCGGGAGTCACTGAAATGTTATCTTTAACACTAGAACTACCAGATGGGTCAAAGTGACCCATTCCTGATGTCTTTTTATACAATTACCGAGAAGGTACAGATGCTTCTCCGAGAAATCGTTAAAGGAGCTGATTTAATAGTACCCACGCTGGAATATAAAACAATTGAAATCTTAATAAATACACAGTTGTAAGTTTTAGAAAGAAATTTGAAATAGTCAGTTCGAGTGCTTGGTAGTTCTAGTGTTAAATGGTACGCACAATGGTGACACAATTTTTAACGTAATCTGGAACATTCATTTCCTCGGCGATGTATCGAAGTTTTATTGGATGTACGAGGCAGATAAGGAAGATAGTAGTGTAATCGTTACGAAGAATATTGACTCTACTTTCTGGTTTATTAAGAAAACTGTTCCGATTGCATGGGAGCTTTGATGAGTGTTTACCCGGCAGTCAAAGTGTTAACAGTTTCGACTGCACGTCACCAGAACCCGGATGACACCATTCTTAACGTAATCTAGAACATTCATTTTCTCGGCGACGTATCGAAGTTTTATTGGATCTATGAGATATAAGGGAAGTAATAAAGTAATCGTTACGAAGAATCTTGATTCTAGTTTCTGGTTTATCAAGAAAACTGCTTCGATTGCACGGGAGTTTTGATGGTTATTTTCTTGGCAGTCAAAGTGTTAACAGGCGACACCATTCTTAACGTAATCTAGAACATTTATTTTCTCGGCGACGTATCGAAGTTTTATTGAATCTATGAGATATAAGGGAAGTAATAAAGTAATCGTTACGAAGAATCTTGATTCTAGTTTCTGGTTTATCAAGAAAACTGCTTCGATTGCACGGGAGTTTCGATGAGTGTTTACCCGGCAGTCAAAGTGTCAAGGAAGTTAATTTCCAACGAATCGCGACTCCGCTGTCGCGTCGGCTCCGGTTCGAGCGTGCCAGCCAGCCAGCCAGCCAGCAGTCTCCCCTTTATTTCCAACCCCTCGCGACTCGCTCGTCCTCAACTTTCAAACGCGGCGTAAAAGTAATCCTGATTCGTTTCCGCGGGATTGACCGTGTCGCCTGGGCTTTCTCCCACCTCGTTTCCACGTCCCCTTTCCCTGCTTCCTCCACTTCCGTCGTTCCCTTTCCCGTAGCTACCTGTCCCAACGTCGTCGGATCGATGCGACACGTTAACGAAGAAAATAATTCGCGACGGCCGCCTCGCCGCGGAAATACGAGCTCGAGTTCGGCTCGAGTTCCTCTTCGAAACGCGAACCCTTTTATTTCCGATATCTTAACGATGGGATGGAACGCTTGGACGACTTTCCTAAGGCCCTGTTGGATTACCAATCCACGTTATACGAAGCACTGTAAGCGATGGGTTTAAGTTCTTCAAGGTTTCGTTGCAAACGTTGCACTTGAACACAAAGTGAAAAACGCTCAGAGCTATCGTTCGTAGCGGTGTTCAGCGCAAGTTTCAACGTGTATGATCGGGGTGTATAAGGGTAATATTTCACAGAACTATAAGTTGAAGTTACTAAACATAAATTCCTTTGGTAACTTGCGCGATTACTCGTTGACTTTAACCCTTAGCAGTCCTGTGTCTAGTCCGACTCGACATTCCATTTTATTGCAACCTCTACCTGTTTTAACAATTTTTTCTATATTTATCTGTAGTATCACAATTGTACCATTTAACCCTTTGCACTCGAGAATATTTTTCTCGACAAATATTCATTATTTTCTGATGAAATATCAATGATATGTTTTACAACTAACATAAAGGAATACCTTGCATAAATTAAGTGACAGAACCATTTTATTTCGATGTTCCATGTGTTGATGCGTTACATAAAAATTTAATATTGAATTCTAAATTTTATCAGTTTCATTTGTCAAATCAAATAGCGACTGAAAGGCGCCTCTCGATTGCAAAGGGTTAACCCTTTGCGGACGAATGTCGACATTTCGATCAAACGAAATGTTCATATTTGGAATACTAAGTTGCAACCGAATGACTTAATTACTTAAATAGCAAGTGACCAGTGTATAGTTCCCTTTTTACTGTTTAAGCATTCGATGTATAATTTAGCTTCAAATGTTCCAAGCTTTGTCTACTTTAAAGAGTCTTCGTCGGCAAAGGGTTAAAGGTAACATTTCAATGACTCTCAAATATTCCTGAATAAATAAATGGAGCGTCGTATTAACCTGTAATTGAAT